AATTGGACTACTAAAATTGTTTTTTTTAAACAACTCAGCTGAATATCTATTTCATTTTCCCACAGAGAATGCACAGTTGCTAAAAATCTAATTTTTCAAAGTAATTATTTTGTGAACTAACTTTATTTTGTTGCCAATCAGATGGTGTGCTAATGACAAATATAAAACATTAGAAGACTGACAGTGTGAAGCATATGGTTAGTTATGAAAAAAATGCTGTAAAAAATAGTTATGTTTCCTTTTATAACACAATAACGTGAAGCATTTTTGATTATAAAAATCTTCAAAACTACGTCTCAGAAACAATAGTTATCTTTCAAAAAAAATTGAAACATCTGTTTTATTTGTATTTTGTTAAAAAAAAAGAAACAATTGACCAGTGGTTAGAAAGTGCATTCATTGAGAAAAGTAAAGAAGCATTAATACATATCTTTTCATAACAATATGAACACAGACAATAACCATGCATAAAATAAATTCTAATTTTTTTGTTTCTTACGTTCACTACCACACATCAAGAAAATTGAGTTTATTAAAATTTAGCAGATTCTTTGGCTTTCAATCCAGTTCTTTAATTTCATGGATTGCATTAATTTTATGGCAACAATTTATGACAAAAAAAATTGTATACGTACTTGTTATTAGTCAACTATTAGGATAAAGATTATGAACCTGTAATAATGTATTTACTTTTTGTGCTTCAGATCCTAACTTACCATTTTGAACTGCACAATCAGTTACAGTATTCACTAGTTGACCCAATTAGGAGAACCATTACAAAGCAACCCATTTTGGACTGACTTATGACCAATCAAAACATTTAAAAGATAACTATAAACTGCAAAATAAAAACAAAAGAAAATTCACAAATTAATTATTTTAGTGTGATGAATGGCTGTGCACTGGATGTAAAGTGAACAATCGGCACCTATTTGAAGATGATCCAAAAAAGGAGTCATCCTCAACATCACAGTCAATTCATGCAAGTTCCGATTCAGTATACATTCTTTGAAAGAAACAGAGCATGCAAAAAATTACAATTTTAATGTTTCAAGAATGCTTTTAAACTTGAAAATGTGTTCATGTATTTGTATTCTCTTCTTTAGCAAAAAACAACAGGGATTCGTCAGTGTGATGTCTAAGCATCACGGTACTTCACATTAAATCCTCTTTCAAAGTATAAAACTCATATTTATGTTTTTTCTTTTATACGCATCATGAAAAACATTTTTTAGACAAATAGTTTAGATCCTTTGTTTCCCAAAAACCACTGTAATACTGAAATATTAGAAAGTTCTACTCAGCTAAGTCAGAATTAAGAGAAATAAGATTACTTAACAGTTTTAAGTTTCATACAAAGGGGGATGAGATCTTCAACCGAATATTAAATCTTGTGTAGTCAAGTTTAAGTAACAAGTATGCAGACATTACACTTAACACATGTGTTATGCTTTATCTAACGAGTTGCTTTTAACAGAATTGGTTCTGTCACATAACAATATTCTTCTGTGCAAGTTAAAGATGGTTAAAAATCAAGACTAAGAGAAAATAAGTTTATTTTCTACATTTTATTCGTTGACTCACCATCATCAGTTAAGCTAGTTGCAACAGAACCTATCTTCCAAGTGCATATTTTACTGAATTAACTCACCATCACTAAGCAAACAGGTGACAACAGAACCTATCTTCCAACTTCATATTTTACTAAATTGACTCAGCATCATCAGGTAAGCTAGTTACAACAGAACCTTATCTTCAGAGTGCATATTTTACTAAGATGACTCAGCATCATCAGGTAAGCTAGTTACAACAGAACCTTATCTTCAGAGTGCATATTTTACTAAGATGACTCAGCATCATCAGGTAAGCTAGTTACAACAGAACCTTATCTTCAGAGTGCATATTTTACTAAGATGACTCAGCATCATCAGGTAAGCTAGTTAAAACAGAACCTTATCTTCTGAGTGCACTATTTTACTAAGATAACTGATGATAAGAGTTAATGACGTGAAAAGAGAAAAAACAACTTATTTTCTCTTAATTTTATATTTTAGCCATCTTTAACTTTATTGTGTAGGATAATACCTTTATACAACAGAACCAATTCTGTTTTAAGCAACCCACTACATAAAGCGTAAGGAATACTTAACATGTAATATAGGCTCACCCGTAGCTTAAACTTAATAACATAGAATTGAAGATCCCATCTTGTGTGTACGAATCTTAAAACCATTAAATAAACTTGTGTTTTCAGTAAAATTCATCATTACAAAATTTCAGTAATTTAACAAGCTTAAACTTGTTAATACGATAGGTGGGTTTGCTTAAGTGATACAAAATAAACTTATTTACATGCCTGTATATCATGATTATTATGACAAACATTTTTAGTAAGAGAAGTGTTTTCAGCTACACAAAACTGAGAGGACAACAAAAATAGAACCTTATTATATTATGTACAAATTTGCAAATAAACTAATAGAAAAGTTTCCATATGCACAAAAGCCTTTAGAACATCACTGAGTAAACAATTCAAGTCTAACTCAATTTTTTTTGTATTTTAAGTTTGTTAATCAAAACAAGCAATAATTCTGAGATCAACTGAGAAACAATTAAAATTTTTGTATATTTTATTCATACTTATTGAATTTCATATATTTTAAATAAGTTATTTAAAAAAAAAGCTGTCTAACTACACGTCAGAATCTCTGCAACTTTTGTCTCCACACCCACCAGAATAAGCTGAGTATCAAATAATTTTACTTCTGATGACAAAGTAACTTATACGATCTCACTGGATCTCGTACTTCACAGTCCAAAATTAAAAAGAAAGAAAGAACAGAAGTTACTATTGGACAAATATTACTCGTTAACCCTAGCTCAGGTAAAGTTATTATTACCCAGTACCTGACCATAAGCAATGTGACTAATTTCAAACAAGGATAGTTTTGAAGTAACTTTCTTTTGCTGATAAACTAAAAATAAAAAACTAAATTACAAAATTTTTTAAGAATTAACATGAAATCTATTTTAATACATTAGTTTCTTGTAACATGAACGAAATATTCAACCATATATATATATATACACACAGGTATAAATAGATTTATATTTCCCTAATTATGTTCAACAGGAACAAGCAATTGGATCTCCTATATACAAACCCCATTATCTTTCTTGCAGCTACATGCAAAAGTCATCAGTTACCTCAAGATTTTCATCATCATCTAGATCAACCAGATGAGCAGAGTTAGATCCATGCGAATCTTCTTTCTTTATCATTCTCCCCATTGGATCAAATGGATCTACAACCACTTGTTCAGTCCCTTTGATTTCTGCTCGACAAAACGGACAACCTTGACCTTCTGAATCCTTTGCCAAGGATAACAAAGATTACATTCTATAAAAATACTTTATATTTTACTTCAAAAATAAATATATCTTAATACTAAGAGTATGAATTATTCACATTCACATGAAAAGAATTAGCTGATTTTGTGTTTGGAATGTAAAATGTTTTAAATTGTGACCAAACAGCTGGAATAAATCTAAGTAAAAACAATACAGAAATCATACGAGCCAAATGTTCGGTTAATCAGTGATTTAGTAAAGAAACAAAAATAAATTCATTCCACTGGAAATATCAAACACAACAACACTTATAAAGAACTTTAACGCAAAGGATTTATAGGATCTCCAAGTGAGTCATGTGATAGATGTCAGTCTTACAGTTCTGGCCACTAATGAATAAACCAACAAATGATATACACTAGATGTACTTGCACAGGTTCCACAAAAGTGTTCTGTTTCAAGAGTAAATAAAACCAAAATTAAGAGTATCAAATATTTTCATTTCTTGCTTTTGAAGTT